AAATATGCCTGAATGCTGACTACATTGGATGACGTCAAAATACCTTCTAGTGCCAGTTTCTTTTGTATTGTAGAAAACAACGGCGTTAGGCCAAAAAATGCACAACTTTAAGATGCCATAAAAGATTGTTGATTTGACCAAATTTTTTGAATTTTTTTCTCAGAAAGGCTTAAAATCATAGACAGATTTCATATTGCTAAAAAATTTTGGTGGCAATACAGAAAAAGTGTCTGAGTGAGGCAGTGTCTGTCTGTCCGTCGTTATCTTCGGCTGTGTTCGTTCATACTCGCAAATGCGAACGATAACGACTAGTATTTATTTGTCTAGTATAGTCAATGCTTGAACTTGATAGCTACACTGTGCAGTCCGTGCTTGTATTTTGTTCTGTATTTTATTCGTATATCACGTTGTTTATCTCTCACCCTGTGTTCTGTGTTTTGGTGAGGAAAATGTAAAGCAGACAGGATATAGTTTTCTTTATATTTATTTCAATTAGTAATGACGACGATTCAGATTTAACAGATCGTCAAAATTGAGGAAGAATTTAAATATATTATGGCCCTATGGAAAATAACTACATCAGCAATGATATATGTACCATGTGCAATACCTCCTCATTTTAACAATAAATATAAAAATGTAAATTGGAACGGAATCATCGGCAACACAGTCTATCAATAAGCAAATATTGATACAACACAACAAACCGATTTGGTATATCTTTTCACCGCACCATTGTTAGACAAATAAGATATAATATTCATTTAAAAAATCGCTTCAAATCAAAGTGGCGAAGAATTTATCGTTCTATCATTGAAATTTATGAGATTTATAAGGACATGGCATTATATTGTTTTTTACAAGCTTTCTTTGCACGATATTAGTATGTGAACACCAGCACACATAACATGCATTGAGCGTAGGAGAGCAATAAAAAGGAAAGACAATGATAATTACTGGCCATTTTTATTAAACATTGAGCGCAGAGAGCGTTTTGTTCCAAAGTTAAGTGCCAAAGAAAGGAATGATTTCATTTTGTGGCATTTTGACATGAAAATATTTTTTGTTACTTTTCATATTTTATTATTACGGAGTGACCTTGGGACTTGACCTTGGGAATTGCCTTGAGACTTAACTTAATTTAATGAAAAATACAACACTAAACAGTTGGACTACTGACTACTGTTTGGTCCATGTACTGTAAATCTGGTCAAGGCTACCCACATGTACACAGTCGTACCTATTTTTGATGTACCTTGTACATCTGAGGACGGTTGCGCGAAGCCTGGATAGCATTGTTCGTCGGGTAGTAAAATCTTCAAACTTTTAGAAAAAGTTGTTTATATTTTCCTTACGGCAAAGAAACTTTGTAATCTTACAAGCAATATTTTATTTTAATGATTGCTCAGTTCAAATCGCATATTATTCCTATTTAAGAGATTTTATAAAAGTTCAAAACAATTTGCCATCTAATGCATAAAACTTTTCTAACTTGATGTAATCGGCTGCAGGTTTTCCTTTATAATCACAATGAATTTTTACCATGGAAGTCTTACCTACGTTTTTTCTGCAGGGAGCAACATGGGGTCAGTCTTAAGCAGAAACAAGGAAACTAATGGTTATAAGTTAATGAGATTAATTGTTGATAGTGGTGGAGAAGCTTTAAGAATAACATTGAGGAAACAACTGTCAGGTACTGATTTATTTTATGTTTTAAATGACACAGCAAATTATGATAAGCTTTTGTTGCTAAAAGATAAGCAAATAAAGCAACATCAATGGGATCTACTGTATCCTCCTCCTCCAATATTACCAAATGAAAATAAGTTTGACGTTACTTTACTTTGTATTCTCCTACGTAATATTTGTGGTTTAAAACCACCACGTGATCCAATATGGACGTCAGTAAATGCACCCAATGATCATTCAACTGAAGCAGATATTACCCGTATCAGGTTATTTCGTAATGATCGTTTTGCTCACTTACCTAACACTTCAGTAAGCTCTAATGACTTTGAAAATTTTTGGGTAGAAATAAGCAAACCATTAGTTCGTTTAGGAATAAGTCAAGAAGATATCGATAGATTGAAAAATGAGTTGTTTGGTAATGAAGAAATTGAAAGAATTTTGAGAGAATGGGGTGGATTAAAGAGCGATTTAACTGATATTAAAACTGATCAGAGAGGTATTAAGAAAACAATGCAGGGTCTAGAGAAAGATTTACAACAGGTAAAAGACAGTGTCAGAGTAATTAAAGACGAAGTACATGAAATACGACGTCACCCTCATTTAGGTCCAGAAGAAGATATTTTGACAAAAAACCTTGTTAGCTGTAACTTTGAATGTGAAATTAGGCATCATTATGAAAAATTTTTAGAGGGAACACGGGAATGGGTTTTTGATGAGTTTTTAGATTGGTTTGAAGACGACAATTCTCAAAATCGTGCACTTATTATTTCTGCTGTTGCTGGTATGGGTAAATCTGTAATTGCAGCTACTTTATGTAAACGTTATCCACAATATTTGACTGCAATTCATTTCTTTCAACACAAAAACAGTCGTTACAATAAAGCCAATTTACTTCTTCAATCTTTAGCGAGGCAAATTAGTCGTAATTTTCCTGCTTACAAACAACTTCTTGTGGAAAAACTTTCGGGTAAACTCTCTCAGCCTTTGGATGACATGAATGTGGAAGGATTATTTTCTTTTCTTTTCACCGAGTTGTTTTATAATATCTCAGAAGTTCCCAAGCGAATGTTAGTTGTGCTTGATGCTCTTGATGAATGTGGTTATCCAGAAAGAGATGACCTTGCTTATTTGCTTGCTAATCACTTACACAAACTTCCGCATTGTTTTCGCTTTGTAATTACCACGAGACCTAACGAAGTTGCTTTGAATCAGTTCGAAAAATTAAAGCCACTGTTCATTAACTGTAACGATTATCGCAATTTAGAGGATATTAAATTTTTGATTGAAGAAAGAATTGGCTCTACTGACAGCCTTCCTGATTTTAAAAACAGTTTGGCAGAAAAAGCTGACGGACTTATGCTGCTTGCATCACTTCTTAGCAGCGAAGTTAAAAATCAGGATTTGATGAATGCGTCCATACCAAAAGACCTCAATGAATATTACGAAATTTGCTTAACAAGATTGAGTAAGGAATTAGATTCGTTTCATATCAGTAACGAAATGTTTCAGTCAATTTTAAATAGTTTGGCTGTTGCTAAAGAACCTCTTCCTTGGGAAATGATCAATGACGTTCTTTGTTTGAATTCGAATCGCATTTCACTTGGGGTTAGAAAAATTATCTCTTGTCTTTTTGTTACCAATGGAGAAGGATGTGTTTCGTTTTTTCACAAATCTTTAAATGATTGGTTGTTGGATGATCAAAAACATGATTACTCAGTAAAAACTTCTTGTGGTCATCGACTTGTTTTAGAAGTTTGTTTAAAATCCTTAAATAACCTCAAAGCAAAAGGTGTAAACTATGACGTCATTAAACATGCGTCAGTGAAGTATTCAGTCAAGTATTGGTTGCTTCATTTACTTGATATTTCTGATAATGATTATATCGTTGAAAATGTTGGTAAATATCTCGTTGACTTAGAAGTTTTAGTTGCTTCTGTGTTGGTTGATAGTCGTCGGACTTTTGAAAATTTTAAATTATTCAACGCACATGGTGTGTACTTTCATATTTCTGACGACGTTCGATTGTTATTTAATGAAGTTTATTCTGTAATGATGTTCTCTGACAATGAAGTAAATTTTTTGCAACACGTTGCCAACGAAGTCAAAGATCTGTCGTCTCAAGCCACCACAATGCTTCAAACACGTTTCAAAGATTTACCTTATCTAGAGTACAGAGTCACGGGTTTTGTAAAGTCTCGATTATTACGTTTATATGCAAATTTGAAGTCTGTTGATGTTTCACGAAATCATGATTACGTCGTCTGTGGTTATTATGAATTCGTCGTGCAACTTTTTTCATTGAAAACAAACAGATGTTTATGGATAAAAAATATTGCTGGTCAGCTTAAGCAATATAAAGAGAGAAAATTTTGCGTTGTCTTTCATCCATTCGAAGATTTAATTTTCGCTTCCCAGTTTGATAAGATACTAGATATTAATGGTAAAATTTCCTCCAGTCCGTTCCATTGTGATGATTGTACTTCTAAGTTCTTTACCAACAAATGTTTTTCTAAGGATAAGTACACAATGGTCACTAGTTACAAAGATACTTTGACAGTATGGGACGTTGAGAAAGGTGAGAAGAAACGCAGTATTAGATGTAATAATGTGACCTCACTGTGCTTTTCTAATTCTGGAAGATATTTGTGTGTTCTTGAAAGAAAAGTGGTTCAAATATTTGATGTAGCGAATAATTATGAAATATTTGTTCACGATGATCATTTACTGTCTGGTAATTTAAGTGAGCCTGGTGTTTTGTGCACTGTTGGTCTTCATTCTTGGCGTTGTGGTTGGCCTCCTTTCTTCCGGAGTGAACCTTTCATTGTAAATCCCACTGGTGAGAAACTTTCTGACTTAGATCTTAATTGCCAAACTTCGTTTTTTCCTCTTGATCCTTTCGATGGCAACAGATATAGCTTTTCCTTTCATAGAGAAAGAATGTATTATTTCATTTTAAACAACGACAATGTTCTTTTGTTTGAATACGGACGTGACTTTTATCTTTATTCAATTCCGCGTGCATGTTTAACTAACAGTTACAGTGCTCGTAAAAGGAAAGTTTCTTTAAATGGAAAATTTCTGTATCGGAGGAATAAAGAAAAATCAAGGGTAATTATATACAATCTCAACACATTTGACTGTGTTGTCAAGGAATGTATTTTTAGAGACATTGTTGCTGTGGAAAATGGAGTTATTTTGCTTACGGCAAAAAAGATTCCTGAGCTTTGGAATAATGATTTGACAAAACTTGTTTATACTTTCGATGAACAAAAAGGTACAAAGAAAATTTTTGAGGTAAATGATGTATCATTTGCTTGTCAAAAAGCTGATTCTTTTGTGTTTTACAATGTTGAAACCAAGCGAAAAGAAATATCAGTGAATTTTGAAAATTATCGAAAGGTGCACGTATTTGCATGTAGCTCTAAGTATCACGTGTTTACTAAGGTTGATTTTAAGGATAAGATAATTTACTGTATGTGGTATGAAGAAAAACAAGTTATTGGTTGGGATGACATAATTAGAGATGAAATCGCCAAAGTAAGGGGAGATAAAGATAATTTCATGTGCAGTATTCATTACGCAGAATTTTCACCTTCAGCAGATAAATTATTAATAAGTGTTATGCGTAATAATGTGAAAGTATTTGACGCTAAAAACATACAAATTATTTATAGTTATACTTTTAACGTTAAGCCAAGGTTTTTGTTCGTTGATGATAGGTATATATTTAGTGATCACTTAAACTTGATTGATTTGAAATATTTTAAGATTGTAGAATTACTTTTCCCGCTTGTGAAAATATCGCCAAGAACTTTATATTACTGTCGTAAACGCAAACTTGCTTTAATTTTTTCTTCCTTAAAGGTCCCAGTACAATGCGTAAAAGTTATCTTGCCACGAGAATAAATTTTATCTTTGAAGATAAAATTTCTCACCATTTTTGATAATGACTATTCTATCTTTTTTTTGTTGATGATAGGTATAGAATTAGTGATGACTTAGATTTGCTTGATTTGAAATATTTTAAGATTGTAGAATTACTTTCCCGCTTATGACTATATTTCCTTATAAATTATATTACTGTCGTAAACGCAAACTTGCTTTAAAGTTTTCTTCCTTAAAGGTCCCGCCACAATGCTTAAAAATCATCTTGCCACGAGGATAAATTTGATCTTTGATGTTAAAATTTCTCACAATTTTAAATAATGACCATATTATCTTTAAAAAATCTGAAGTTAATCTTTAAGCTGAAGTTAATCAATTAAAGATTAAAATTCAATCAGTATATATACAAACCATAAACACAAATGATTTCGTGTCTAAGATAATAATTTTCCTTCCACAAGAAAATAATTTTATTGACTTTTATTTTATCACGCAAACCTATAAAATGCAAACTATTGTTAGTTACTGTAACATTGGTTATATTTTGTTTATATCTACACCATGTAAACATATAATTTTCATGCAAAGAAATTCAGTGTAGGATGGTTTTAATATTGCACGTTTTTTGATACTCATTTACACAAAAAACAAGTTGTTACTAATTAAATCAACACTATCTTGCACTGAAATAATTTCTTAATACTTTTTAATTATTGCATTTTGATATACAAAATATCTATGTGTTAAGTTTTAAGAGAGTCAAAGACAGCCCAATTGTTACTTCTGTTATATGAATATTTTCATCTTTATCAATTTGAAAAATGTAAATTTATAATAAAACAATGCTAACTTTCAAGAAAAACTAAAAATTTGGCTGTCTTTCTCACTAAATGTTAAAAAGTAAATCGTAAACTCCACAAGAAAATGACTTATGATTGACGTTCATCATCGTGATAAACAATTTAGCCATTGTGACTGAACACCCCAAACCGTATGAATAGGAAAAGTTAACAAAAGTCAAAGAAAGTTTTGCAATATAAAGAAACAGAAAACAAACGACAATGTCGCATATGGAAGGATGTGTAATGACAAGATTTATTTATCAATAAAAAATCGATATCAATTATTGTTAAAGTTTGAACACTTTTACTTTGTGAATCGATACTTTATGGAAATTGTTTTTTAACAACATCAACTCAAACATCAGTGGACATACTGCAAGTTACTTTGCCAAAGTTTGATATGCTTATGGCTTGGCTGTAAAACTCCATCGTCTACTCTTAATTCAAACGATACTACAAGAAGGAGAAGCTTTATTTCAGGAAGTGACGTAATGAAAGAAAAGACAAATTTATGTACCGTTGTTTACTGTGGATTTATTCTTCTACTTTGTAACATCACCCAATGCGTCACGTGTTCATTGAAATGTCATCTGTTATCAAAATTTGAAGATATGAAGTTTTACATTTTTAAAATGATGAAGCTGGCTGTTCACTTTGTTCAATTTTTTATAAAACTGAAGAGTAAAAATTATCATCTCATGTGGACGTTTTGATGTGAACATAACGCATAAGTAATCATGAGAGTGAATAAAAAGAATTTCATTTTATTACATTGTGGCTATTGGAGATGGCTAAAGGGAGTTTTTGCTGCATCTATAATTGATGCTGCTTCTTGATACAAACACACTGTCATTGTGAATATCATGACACTTAATTGCCTTAGCGCGTGCTCTGAAATATATATGTACTTGAATGATACTATAACATTTGTGATATGAATTAAGATCTTAACAGCAACATGTCATGAAAATTCAAAGTAAACGTCAACTATGGATGGTTGTAGAATAAAAGTGATCAGTTTAGTTCATATAAATGGTCAACAAATCATTCACAACAAAGTAAGTTCAACATCTAAGAACTACATCAAGTTATGATAACGAAAACTATGGAAAAATTTAAACTTCTTTCTTTTTCAAGATGTCATATTTCTAAATCCACTGTGTTTTATTTTTTATATAGTGAACAATTTTAGATCCTTAAATTTAATTCATATTGTTGTGTACATATCTACGTATAGTGAATAACATCCCATAAACGGACATCTACCGTAAGCAGACATTAGGTCGTGGTCTCTAGGATGTCCGTTTACGAGTAGCTTGACTGTATATATGCAGACTTTTCATTACTGCACTTTTTCTTTACGTTTCTAGATTTTTCTTTTGCTTTTTAAATTTTAAATGCTAAATAAATGAAGTGCTGAAACAATTGTAGTTGCTATTTTAAAGACTGGTTGGAATTCATTCATTTAGCACTTATAAAAAATTATTTAGAGAACTTTCTTTTGCGCAGTGTTTTGTCAAACTTTGTTTTTTAATACATATTAACATAGTTTTATTATATTAGTATGTTAATGTAGGAAATAATCGTTGTATAAATATGTTTTCTACAAAATTGTTACAATATATGTGTGTTGATCTATATATAGTGTCTTAAATAGTTTTCACATTTGTCCACTATACCAAACCTATATTGAAACTCTCTGGAAATTAGCCTCACTATTTCCCGAGGGAGGGTGCATTAAGTGTTTGTTATATAGGGAAAAATTAATAAATTTCAACAACTCTTCAATAAAATCAATGTCTTTCGTGAGGGAGGGGGGAGGGGGGGGGAGAAACTGCCCGGATTGCAAAATGCTATGATTGACCACGACAATTTAGCTTGACTTCCGAGTGTTTTCTTAATTTTTTTATTAATAGTTGATTTTCGTAGCTTAATAAGCAGGAGAAACGTTTTTTCAGTTTTTGGCTTGGCGGCTGTCTCATTCGTTATAATATTAAAATAAGCGGACAACACCTTTTCACTTGTTTTCCTTGTAGGAAAACGTGCATTTATTTCAAGTCATGTGACTACTAATGAACCAATCGCAAATATTTTACACAGCACCTATATAACAATACAACTAATTGTATAAATAGACATAGTTCGAAAGTTGATTTGCCGATTGGAATGGTTTGCAGGATTCCAAATTTAAATCAAACGACTTTCATGCACATCAGTCTCCTAGAATTTATTTCAGAAAAATACATCAGTAGGACATGGTGATCAGGATTTGGATTTTCGGAATAAGTTGAATTTTATAATACTGTTTTTTGATACATCCTGTAGTTGTTCCTTTTGGGAACACCCTTATAATGTATATATGTACGTAAAGAATGGTTCACAAAGTGAGATCATTAGCTACAATCACATCTTTTACACGTAGATTCTTATCAATTTTCTTACATTAAAGTTGTAGCAAACAGATACTTTAATACTAATGGCTTAATAGTTTAATTTGTAATTATAATTTATAAGAATCGGATATGTTGACAGGAACTATAATTAGGGATGAAAGTTGTGAGAAAACAACAAAAGAATGTAGATAGAACTTAAAAGTGTTTGATGTTACTTAGGCTTAGTCCAAACGTCGAAATTACATGAACCGTATGCATTTAAAACAAAAGATAATGAGGAAACACATCTCATTTTCTTTTGTCTTTAATGCGTTTGGCGCATGTAAAGTTCGACGTTTGAAACAGACCTTAAATTGAAAGAAAAAGATATCATTAAAACACTTCAATCTTGAAGGAAAATTAACATTTAAATTTTTTGATAAGCATCCTGTACACCGTGTGATTTCTTTTTATTGTGTCTATAATTAATTAAAATTGTATTGTTAGTCCTGATTTCAGGACTTTTGTACCGGTTTGAGGAAATGGCACTTATGCCATGTTGTTCGTCATGGTCACTTTACCAATAAACAGTTGAGACTAATTCCGGTAATTAAGTGAATAAAAACCCTTATACGGGTTTTCGACTATAGCACCATACACTACTTTCTATCTGATTTTCTCCTCGTAGATTGTTTGTGTGTCAAGGAGAAGCGTCTTCCTTTTAAATTTTGCTTCATTTCATTATGGGTTAGCCGTTAGTAGTTAGCATTTGATATACAGACATAAAATTGAGTTTATATGAAATGTAACAAATTGGATATTTCTTAAATTTGCCGTGAGAGTTTTTCCAAAAATCGACAATCTCTTTCCCATTTTCCCCGTATGTTTAAAGCTCAGTTAATTTTTCTCGTTTCATGGGCGTGTATGCTACTGGACGTAAATAAGGAAGCAATGCTGTTATACAGCGCGAAGCGCCTAGGGTGGTATATCGATTACAGCCGAGGCTCTATAAAAGTCGTTGATTAGCTTATTACACGATGGAAGACGTTTTCCCAGAAGAATCATTTGATTATAGTTGTGGAAAAAATTGATTGTATATCGATGGTAATTATAATATAATTATAATACGTGAAAGCATAAACAATAGAGAAGTGTACATTAGTGTTTGAGTCAAAAGAGTGATGAATCCCAGAGGTGTTTGGTTTTCTACTTTATTTAAAATTCATATTTTTGCATGCTGTTTTCATGATAGCTTTGCTTCCATACACTTGTGTTCTATTTGAGCTGTGTCTTTGCTTGTTATGGATGTCTGAGACATTGGTATGGCAAGCCAAACCTGCCAAAAGTGTAGTATACAGAGCGTCGTTTCTAACCCAACTCAACTTGAGAAAGCGTCGACTTATTATACGCAAATCTAAGTGCCCCAGCCCTAGTTCGCGTACGTATGCTATAATTACAGCGAATGTCAACCCCAAGACAACGGCAAGAGACAAAGACGGCCGGCCCACCCTCCGTGCCCGCGCGGCCGGCCGTCGGGGTCTATTATTTAGACATAAATTCTCACATAATGTATATCGAAAAATTCGACAGCCGTGAGGCAGGGCAAGAACAAGTGTGCGTGGTTTTTAACCGGAAAGCTCACCACATGTGGGCAAAGCTCCATAAGTGAATACTGCGGACTTCATATAAGGCGGTTAAGGGAAGGCGGGGGACTTCCACAACCATGTCGTAAGTGTGGGGTCGGAACACAGGCAGAGGGTATCTTTGTAAAGCCTGCGGTGCAAATAGGGTGCAGCATATGCATGTTTATAAACAGAAACAAGCAAGAAAAAGGTTTGCTAGAGTACTCGCCGAATTAATGTTGATTTAGAGAAGTATCTCCCTAATATATACCAACGAGATTTGCAACAGTCGAGATGAATACTGTCGAGAGACTTCTGCAACTATATGACCAAGATGTAATCGACGGACACGCGCTGAACAACTCTCTTAAGGATCTTAAACCGCCGCTGACCCGACACCGACGCCAAGAAATGTCACTCCGCCTATCCCAAAACCGCGAAAGCGCAGGCCTATCCCAAACCGCGCAAGTGCAGGCCTATCCCAAAACCACGACCCTCAACAAGGGCTCCTCCCCCACCACGTACGGAGCTTAAGTGGGATGAAACGAAGGCATTCAGCTATCATCTGAGAGCCTGGAAAATGCAGGTGCCGAAGGGGCACCCCACCGAACGCGATATGATTGCTTTCCTCAAAAGCGCCCAGCCCTACATCAAACGCAAACTCGTCAAGGAGCTACTAGCTCTACGAGGAGTTAAGTTCCAGTTGGCTGTAGAGGTTGAGCTTCGGAAGGATGAAGCAAATGGCACTGAAGTGCTTCAAGCACCAGTGTTCCGGACAAAGCAGATCACGCTGCTACAGGTGCATAAGATTCGGCAAGCCCTACATGAAGCCTTCCCAACAATCCTGGAGAAATTGGAAAAGTTCACTCGGGAAGGATCTGGGTGGATAGTGGGTCGTGTCAAAACACTCTGGCTTGATATCACTCACTACCAGCCTTTACGCGGAGGCTCATTCCTTCCTCTCCCCACCGCGGTCAAGAACAAGACGACAACTGCCTCCGCTGGTCCCTAAGGGCAGCGCTGTTTCCCGCAGCTAAACACCCGCAACGGCAGAGGAAGTATCCCACTGAAGATGGCCTTGACTTTGTGGGGGTGAGCGCACTTACACCGCTCTCCCAGCTCGAGCGAGTAGAGCTTCAGTACGACCTTGCTATCAACGTGTACGGGTAAGAGGGCGGCGTAATTTCTTACCGTCTGAGCAGAGTACAGGGAACCCGCAAGACTGTGAATCTCTTCCTCGTCTCGGATCCGATTGATCCTGAGAACTTCATTTACACCTGGATCAAGGGCTTCAACCGCCTTCTCAACCAGAGAGCCACCATTAGCTGCATTTCTGTGAACGTTGCCTTCACGGCTTCACCAGGCAGGATTTGCTGGAAGAGCATAAGCCTGAATGTCGAGGCATCAACCAGGCCGCAGTTTCCATTAGAATGCCAACCCCCGGAAAAAACGACAAAATCCGCTTTGAGAACTAGCACAAGCAGCTCAAAGCGCCCTTCATAATCCACGCAGACTTTGAGAGCCTGGTTCGTAAGACCGAGGGCCCGCGCTTAACCCTGAAAAGAGCGGCACCCAGCAAACCTCCAGGCACGAGGCATTCGGCTACTCGTATATAGTCGTCCGTTCCGACGGGGAAACGCAGCCACCGCAGCTCTATCGAGGGCCCAACGCGGGCAAGCATTTCCTGCAAGCGCTGCAAGAAGAAAAGCGCAAGATCAAGACGGTGTTAGCTAGCCCCGAGCTTATGCACATGACAGGAAAGGACTGGGGAAGCCACAAGAAAGCCACAAATTGCCACGTCTGCAGCAAGCCCCTCGAATGCGATTCCGAGCGAGACCACTGCCACATTACTGACAAGTACCAAGGTGCGGCCCACAATAAGTACAACCGGAAGTTGTGGCTCAGCCCGAAGACGACAACCATACCAGTTGTCTTTCACAACCTGCGGGGCTACGACAGCGACCTCTTCATGCAGACTATCGCAGAGACTGAAGGGAATATCACCTGCATCCCCAACAACTCTGACAAATATATCTCGTTCAGTATCGGTCAGCTTCGATTTATCGACAGCGCCCAGTTCATGCTTTCAAGCCTGGATGGCCTGGTGAAAGCCAGCTAGCCGTGAGACATGCGCATCACAGTAGACTACGAGCCGAACCTCCAGAGGCGTACCCTCTTGCTCCGGAAGGGGGTCTACTTCTACGAGTACATGGACGGTTGGCCCCGATTCGACGAGGAGGCCCTCCCGCCGAAGGAGGCTTTCTACAGCAAGCTCTCGGGCTCCCGCGTCACCGCGTCCCGGGGAGGTATACTCCCCCCGGCGTTCCAAATCCAAGGATTTTTCCTAGGACAGGCGCTACGATGGGAGCAGCTATACCTGCAAGCAAAGATTAAAGGAATCCACCTTTTTGCGTTCGCGTCATGGCTGTAATCTGACTCTTAGACAATTTTAGATTAGTAAGAATAAGCATATCAGGACCTTCAAGAGCGATGTTGGTAATTCGCAAAGTTACTCCACTTTTGTCTCTAACTGCTTTTGCCAAGGTAGTTTTCTGATCTTTTGAAAGTTTCACACCGTGAACTATGTATCCAGAACGACCTTTCATACCAGAGCTACTACCGAAACAAAGACGACTGTTATTAT